ATATAAGATATAGAGAACTACTGAACTCTTTTTATTAATTGTTCCCAAGTGCTTGCTCTCAGGTGACCCCCTTGTGCCCCCCAGCTCCAGGGCACTGGGGGAGGTGCCACTTCCAGTCAGGATAAAAGAGCCTTTTCCTCCCCAGCTTCCCTGGCCCCACACAAACAGTCAGCCTCTGCCTGAGCCCTTCATCCTTTAACATGATCCAAAGGCAGGTTTCCTGCTAAAACACAGCATTTGGGCCTGGCAATGGGCTGCTCCATGAAATTCCCAGCCCAGAAACAACCCTTGGGAGTCAGGCTGAGTGAGCAGAGCTCAGTTAGAGAGTTGGAAAGTCCAGTGGGATCCAGTTCAAAGAGGAGCCCTAAAGGGGCTCCAGGAGAGCTGGAGAGGGACTTGGGTCAAGGGGTGGAGGGATAGGACAAGGGGGAATGGCTTCCCACTGCCAGAGAGCAGGGCTAGATGGGATATTGGGAAGGAATTGTTGGCTGTGAGGGTGTTGAGGAGCTGGGATGGAATTGTCAGAGAAGCTGTGGCTGCCCCTGGATCTCTGGAAGTGTCCAAGGTGAGGCTGGACAAGGTTTGGAGCAACCTGGGATAGTAGAAGGTGTCCCTGCCCATAGCAGGGGGTGGCACTGGATGGGCTTTAAGGTTCTTTCCGATCCAAACCATTCCATGCTTGGCAATTTTCCCAGCCCCAAGAGCAGGAGGGTGCTCCAACAGGGGCACAATATTTTAGGGAATCTCCTTGGAGAAGCTCAAATCCACTGATTCTTTAACATGATCCAAAGGCAGGTTTCCTGCTAAAACACAGCATTTGGGCCTGGCATTGGGCTGCTCCATGAAATTCCCAGCCCAGAGACAACCCTTGGGAGTCAGGCTGAGTGAGCAGGTTGCAGAGCTGTAAAGTCCAACAGGATTTGTGTCACCACAAAGTGGTTTTGACCCTCCCATTTTGCAGGTGGTGGGGCTGGTGATGGCCTGGCTCTACTGGCAGAAGCTCAATGAGATCTACTCCAAGCTGGACACCGTGGACTTCAGGATCCTGGAGCTGCGGGATTTCAGCTTCGGGGCTGTGGATCTGAGCGGCGCCGGCTGGTGCTGGTGCCTGCCCAGGGAAGGGGGGTACATCCCTGTCAACCCTGGGGACGAGGAGGAAGAGGAGCAGGAGGAAGGCAGCACATCCCGCAGCAAAGTGTGAGGAGCTGGAGGACTCAGAAAGCTCCGGAGGAGGCAGCAGGTGTCGAGCGTGGAAATAACGCGATTTATCTTCTCAGGTTTTGGAGGTGCTCTGGGGAGAACGGAGCACTGGAAGGTTCAAAAACCTACCATGTGGGCACAGGAGCTCCCCAGGGTCCTCCTGCTTGGCCTTTCGAAGTGTTTGTGCAGCTCCTGATCAGGGTTTGGGGGTTTTTTTTTATACAATAAATGTGAATTCTCTCGTGTTTTGCAAAGTTGTTTCCACTCACCACTCACTGGTTGGGCTGTTGGGGAGGGGGTGGCACCTTCAGTGTGCTCTGGGGGGGTCTTTAGTGTTGGATTATCCCAGTTTCCTGAGAAATCGTGGCTTTCTGAGAGCTCCCCAGATGTGCCCAACTCCAGGAAAGCAGAACAGAAGGAAAAAACGGAGCAGCTTTCTCTGCAGAGCCTTCCCAAAGGGCTTTTCCAGGAATTCCAGGGAAGCACAACTTCCATCTCCTGGATCACAGTGGCTGTTTGGGCAGGGAGGAAAACACCCCTTTCTGAGGGTTTCTGGCTCTTCTCCATGAACTGTGGCTTCAGTTTTTATTCCCAGGCAAGGAAAAGGACATTTACACGTTTAAATGTTTAAATTTGGAAACTGAGGACGGTTTTCCGTGTGGTGCCCCTGGGATGGAGGTGATTCCTCTGCTGGAGACCAACCCCCAATGCCCAGGTAAGGAATTTCCTTTACCAATATTCCTTTTTCAGCTCAATTCCCTCCTGTATCTCTTGGGGTGTGGGAATTCAAAAGCCGGGGAATGTTGTCCAACCTTGGCTGGGGGAGTTGGGAAATGGGCTCGGAGGGGGAAGACTTAAACTGAGGACTTGTAGGTGTGTTTTTACCCAAAAAAACCAGAGAAACCCCCTGCTGAGGGTAACCCATCTATGGTAAAGCCTCCCAGGAAGCAGCCAGGAGCCAAATGCAAGGGAATAAACTTGGATCAGGGACCTGTTTCCTCTCCAAATGTGCCCAAAGCCTGTGGATCCCCCGCAGTGACTGTAATTATCCCATTTATCGTGAGAGGAATCATCCCAAAAGTGAAAGGAGAAGGGGAAAACTCCATTTTCCGAAGAGTGAAGGAAGCACTGGGTTTATTCTTGTATCTTTTTATTAATAAGGATATTTTGGAAGTTGGTTTTATGTTTGTGGATACACGAGCAGGGAAGAGCTGCTGTTGAACTGCCGGGCTCTGTCTCCCTCTTGTGACCATTCCCAGGCTCCACTTTTTAATTAAATGGGAAAAATTCCCAGCACAGGCCTGGAAAAAACACTTTGGGAACTGTTTTTTCCTGTCGGGAGATGAGCAGGAGATTACTGGTGGTTATTACTATTTTAATTTTACCATTATGATTATTACTATTGTTATTACTATTATTATCAATATTATCATTATCATAATATAATCACTATTATTATAATCACTATTTTATTATTATCATAATTTATTAGAATTATAATAATGTAGCATTATTAGATTAATATAGTAATATTAGTATTATTAATTTTAATGCAAACATTATAATAACTATAATTATAATTATTATTATTGTATCATCATAATTTATTAATATATTAATAATTTAGCATTTATAATAATACATTAAATTAATAATATCAATGTCACTATAAGAATCACAATTATAATAATCATGGTTATTGATGTTATTGTAATTTATTAGAATACTTTATTAGGATAATTTTTTATCATCATTGTTGTCATCATAATCATCATCACTATTATTGTTATGATCATCATTATGATTGTTATTATGATCATAATTTATTATCAGTATAGGAATTTAGCATTATTATAATAATCTATTATTATCCTCATTATTGGCATCATATTCATAATCACTGTTATTATCATTATTATTATCAGAATTTATTAGTATTATAATAATGTAGCATCTGTATATTAACCTAGTGATATTTGTATTATTAATATTAATATAATCATCATGACTATCATTATAATTATAATCATTATTGTTATTATTATCATACTTTAGTAACATCATAATGATTTAGCATTGAGAGGAGGATCTTGGGAGCGCACAGAGGTTTGCCAGTCCAATCTGGGGATTAGGGAGGGGGTCTGACAGGGGGTCTCAGTGGGGAGGAAGCCTGTGTACCCCTATGAGGTTGAGAGCTGGCAATGGTACATGCCGTTGGCAGGGTCTCCCATGCCAGACAGGTCCAAACCGTAGGGTCAGATATAATATGTCCATGGGCAGGATGGGCTCACTGGCCCTCTGGCAACCATCCTAGGAGAAGGACAACTCTGATCCCAAACCCAGGCAGATGGAGCTCGTTTAGCCCCGTAAGGCCATCCATCTAAG